AATTTAACTTTTCTTAAAAGTGAAATGATTCTGAGTTTTCTGGATGGAAACTGTTTTATACCCCCTTCCAACAAAACATTCTCAAAAATCATTTAAAAGTTTCTATGATCCATAGAACTCCCAAATAGAGTGTAATTCACCATAAATTGGCTTTTTATAAGAAAACTCATGAAACATGCTCGGGCCTTTCTCCAGGCCTGCCCTGCAGTAGCTAATCCTGGGAGCATTGTCATACCTGACTCAGATATCAGCGGTACATGGGACAGTCTGCTCCTGGCCCTGGTAAGGGGCCTCCGAGGGTAGTCTTCATTAGACGCCACGTCACAACTCTACGGCTGGGAGCTCCCCCTCCTGTCCTCACCTGTAGCCTCACAGCCACTCCCATTAGTTCTCTCATCATGTGCTGGGCCTGAAGACCCCCCTTGTGGCAGAGTCCTAAAGGAAAAGGCGGATCTCGTACCATCCGGACCATTCACAACACAGGCTCGGCTGGTTGAAGGACGTTCCTCATCAGAACACCTGCTAGTTCTCCTTTGGGACTCCTGGGGCTTGTGACAGCAGCATCTGGGGCAGACAGAATTCTCTGCATTTCCTTCCTCCATGGCCTCAGAGTCCTCTGATCCACCAGGGGAGCAGACACATTGCCTGGATACATCCACTTCTGTAGGGCTAGGCTCAGCTGAGCCAGCGCCGGTCACCGTCCTTACAAAGTCGGGGCTCTGAGAAGCAGTGCTGGGTGAGCTGGAATTTCCTGCTGTGCTGGCAGCGGAGGTGCTGCTGCAGCTGGGATAAACATCCTTGTTTTTTTTCTTTTCAGGGATATCCCTAGCTGCTTTCATATCGGCTTTGATCTGCTCGCTGGTGACCTGACAGCCTTTCTCACAGCTGCTCTCCTCCAGGGGAAACTGCTTTGACTGGCCCAGCTGATGGGAGTTGTGCCTCTTTCGGAGTGGAGTCTTGCCTTTTCCACTTACTGCTTACAGAAAAAGAAGAATGGCCCGAGGGAAAGAAAAGATTTCAGTACAGATTCTGGAAGAAAGGCAAGAGTAAATAAATCTAGAACAAGAAACCATGTGCACTAGTTTTCCTAACTACTACAAAACTCAGCAACCAGCTCTAGTGCTTCCCTGGTTACTTTCCAGCTTGCCCAGTAAGGCCCACCATGATGAGATTCTAAACTAACTTTTCATATAGCTGCCTCTACCTACACTCTGCACCCAGCCCCAACGTTTTCCTCAATATACCCACCTCGACAGCAAGGGCCTGGAGCTCTGTACAATCCTTGATGTGCTCACCCTAAAGCCACCATAGCAATGCCTGTAACACTGTGATCCATGCTGTCTACCTGACTTCAGCTGGACTAAAGGTTCTGGAAGGATAGACAGACCATGACGTAATGTATGCCGTGAGCCTTCACAGCATCTAACAAAGCCCCCATGCCGCAGCAAGGCTCAATGAATGGAACAGAATGAACAAATAAGGCTGGTCTCTGGCAAGCACACACTTTAGCTGCCTGATTAAGAAACTGGATTTTCTAGGAAAAATTACACATTAGTCAGCTGGTCACATTTTTCCTAAATTTTAGTTTCCATGAAGCTTCTTTTTAACCACAGTATATATCTGAATTTAAAAAGGAGTGAACTAAAAACCTGCATAATCATTTTCTAAAATGAAACATTAAATATAATGTAGGTATAATGTTAACTGTATACCAAACATCCAAACACATTAAAGAGCAAAGAGGGAAAATAAGCAGACAGTTTAGAAAAAGTAATGACACAGACAGTTTAAAAGAAGTATCCTTTGCTACAAGTAGTGAGTACAAGGTTTTGAGAACTGAGAGGAAAGAGCAAGGGAAATAAGGACTGTGGACCTAAGAGAGAGGAGAACCATAGGTTCTTAGCAAGGATAACAGAATAAGCTGCTTCCTGGTTCTAAAAGGAAACAGAAGAGCTAGCGATATATACAGTTTCCAAGAGCTAGCGATATATATAGTTCAGTGGTAGAATGTATGCCTAGCATGCCAAAGGCCTAGATCCAAAACCCCAGCACTACCCAAAACAAACAAACAAACAAAAACCCCACATAAATTAACAAATTCCTGCATTTTAGGACTCACTAACTGCTACAGCAGCTACCAATATTCAGACTACAACTGGACAGAGTATGAGCTGGAGAGTAACAGTTTCTTTATCTCTCCACTGGATACTCACTGCCCATCCCTTCCTTAAACCAAGGCGTCCTGCTGACCACTGACAACTGGACACCACCGCAGCTACCTACAGCCCCACTGAAGGATTCCTCATGTTCGATGCCTCCCACATCTCTGCTGTGCTACTCACTCACAGCAGTACTGCCCACCGTCCTGCTTAGACTTTTGCCCTCCCTGCTTCCTAGCAGACGTCCTAATGTATAAGCTGCACTGTACACTGCAGTGAAGACCGAGGGAAGCAGTTCTGACACCTCCCACTGCCAGGCCAGAGCCGGACAACCACTCACCTGCCGGCTCCCTGGATTGTACTGACTCTCCGTTTTTTTCTTCCCGTTCTGAATAACGCCGGGCACCATTCTTAGGAATCCAGACTTCTTGGAGTTCTAGACTGTCCTCTTCATCATCACTCTCTGAATCGTGAACTGTAATTGGGGTTGGTTTTACCACACGCTGTAGACCACTAGGTCCTAAAGCAAAAAAAACAAGACTACTTGTTGCTCAAGAAAACTTAACACAGAAAGTACTATTTCTGACACCTAGGAAAAAAGATGCTTTTGGCAAAGTAGCCTTCTGTCACTTACTTTAGTGAAACAAAAAGTGAGATTCTGTGGAAGCATTTACACAAGCTAAAGCCATTATGACAACATAAAGTATGACTAGAATGACAACTGATATACATTTCTAGAAGCAAATTAAAACACCTGTCCCAATTTCACTATTTCAAAAATTGTAATAAATCACATTAAAATAATCAAAGTGCAGTTCTAACATTTTAAAAATTAAGCTACACAGTTTCCCAGTTTTGCATTTATATAAGCCAAAACAAAGACAATAAACCTCAGGATGCACAGAGCGGTGCATGCAGTCTCTCTGGAGGACCACACAATATACTTTGGTAGAGAATGGGCACTGTGTAAAGCACCAGTCATCTGCTTAGAAGACAACTTCAGACCTTCAGCTCTTCTGATTTGATCCTGACAAAACACAAGCTACAAGGATCTTGCCTGCCCTTGTCTGTCACAATGTTCAAAGCCTGGCAAAACTGACACTCAGGTCTGCTGGATAAAGTGACTGCATTCGTCAGACACTAAGAGAAGGACAGTGCTGTGTCCTAATCTTAGACTGTTCCCTGTCACTCTCAAGTGGTGCTGAGCACACGGTTCACCTCTGAAAAACTTGCTTCCTGCAAAGAGCCAAGCAAGGTACTCTACAGGCCTGTGACACTAGCCTGGCACTGGGGTAGAGACTAAGTTTTAGTCCACTCACTAGCCCAGAACAGCCTTTGCTTTGCTTCTCCTCCCCTCTGAAGTAAGGTCAGAAGACAAATACTTTTAAAATTTAAATTAAAAAGGTTTTGAGACTTACATAAATGAGCACTATATTTATATCATTTACACTCCTCTCTTCTGACCTCCCACATTTATGATCTCTTGTTACATTTACACACACACACACACACACACACACACACACACACACACAGAGCTAGCTGTGTCCACTGAACATTGCTCATACAAACACAGAGTATTCAATTAGGTTATTTTCTATCAAAGTCTGAGTGCTTTCTTTTTCTACATCTGTTAGTATTCAGGCATCTGCACTGGCTTGTCCTTGGGATTCTGACAGGATATGCCCTCAGCTGCAGCCACTAAGAGCACCACCTGTGCACATTCACTATGTTCCCTTTTAAAATGGGCTCTGCCCTCTTCCCATCCTCTCTTCTTTCTCTCCCTGTCTATCTGTCATCAGTGTCCCCACCCTGCCACGCAACCTCTCTCTCCTGCTGCTCCTGTCTCTGAAGGCTGGTCTCCCCCCTCCCCTTTTTTATGATCCCTTTCCCTAATAAAAAACACTCCTGCTTGAACCCTGGTGCATGGTGTCTTTCTCTTGCATGCGACGTTTCTTAAATTACAACAACATCCACATACAAGACACACAGTGAAATAGACAAAGCAGTTGTTGGCTGCAGCTACAAATAAAACAAAAAACTCTTAAGATACAGATGCATGAGGCTAGGAGAATACCAATGATTTATAACAAGACTCAATAGGGAATAGAGGTAACACATCCGTACTTGTTCCCAGTGCTTCCAATTCTCCATTATACTCAGACTCTAATTTCCAGAATGATGGATGTAGAAAGAGTGGCATGATTACCTGCTTGTTCCTCATCAGCATCCATAGGAAGGAGTCCCTGATTGGGAGCTGGCATATCACTTCCACTCTCAGCTCCTACCTCTCCATCTTCCTGCACCATGTCTTCCATGTCATTCAATGCTTAAACAAAAATAAAGTGAAAACTAAAGGAAACACAAAAACCCACAATGCATGTAAAACCATGGCAGTTCTGAGGACAGAACACCCAGTCATTGTGAGACCTACTCAGAAGAGTAGAGAAACAAAGGGTCCAGCTAATCCACAGAAAAGGAAATCACAGGTCAGAAAGGGTTATTTCATCAATCAATGTAAGACAGAAGCAGGGGGTCATGATGGAGAAAAAGACCTTATTCATCCCCAAAAGTGGTCCCAGGAAGGCTGGGTGATGTTCCCTTTATGCTATTTGCTTGAAGATGATGGTCATCTTACAAACAATGAGCCTTGTGGTACCTGCTGTCTGAACCAGGCTATACTGAGCATGCAAACTCAAATTCTACCTTTCCCATGTATCTTCTAGAGGTTAGGTGTCATTTACTAATATATGGCAAGGGCCATTAATAAACTACATACAGTTTATAATTTTTAATGGCATTTAAATGCTTAATGTCTTTCAGTGTTTACTGTATCTAGTGCCTATAAATGAGGGCATGTGGTTTTATTCTCAAGTTACTCCAAAGGGTAAGGCCCAGGAAAACTTTAAGACCAGTAAGTGTCAACTTAGTATTAATAGTTAAATTCATCAGATGGTTACAAATTAGTACAAAATCCCTCAAGGCAATACTCAAGACATTTGATCTAGCAACATCCAACTTCCCCAAAATTGTTGACTGATCTCAGTTTGCATCAGAACAATACCCGTATTGAATACATTCTAATGAGATTTTGCAACAAAAGGCATTCTCTCCTCTGTACTGAGTTGTAGGCACATAATTTTCCATTGCAATCCTTCACTACAATTGGGTTTATAGAATTTGCAGTGTTTTGTGTTACAGCAGTTGTAACAACTTCCCAGGAATGATTTATGTTTTTCCAGTCTGTATTTTTATGATGCCTATGACATATAAATAGAATGACTCTTGAAACATGACTCCTCTTTAGCCACATCAAACCCTTCTTTCATTTTTACTACCTCCTGGATCTTATACTTCTTTGTATCTCTTGGGGTTAAGGTCAGGAGACTGTTTGACTTTAAGCTTGCAATATCTAGGAGTTTGTATGTGACAATAACAAAATTTAGAGTCATATATAGTCTCATTTACTTTAAAAATTGGAAAGTTCAAGGCTAGAAAAATACCTAGAGCTCAAAATACAGGTGGCACTAATGCCATTATTCTAAGTGCCAATGAATGAGGAGAGACAGGAGGGAAGGGAAGGGAAAAGGATAGAGGGAGAGGGGAGGGGAAGAGGGTAAGGCAAAGAGAGGAGAGTAGAGGAGCAAAGGGGAAGGAAAGAGAGGGAAGAGAAGGGGGTGAAAGGGGAGGGGAAGAAACTAAGAGGAATGCTAAATGAAGTCAGGGAAAAACCAGGAAAATGGCTACAGAGTCACCAAGAGAAAAGTATCTCAAGAAGGTAAAAGCAGACAGAGCTGTCCAATACAGCTGAGCTGTCAAGTAAGATGACCACCAGGATTGAGAGTCACTCTGTGACTTTGCTGAGGGAAGAAGTTTATAGGAGACTCTCTGTTCAGGACATCTATGTTCACAGCATACCTTTTATTACAAGTCATTCCAACAGGAGCAGAACACCCTATTTTTTTACCAGTTACTATGTCTAAGAGAGTAAAGAATGACATGAAGATGGCTAGAGGAATTATTTTTCTAATTTTGGGGAATCAACTGAGAAATTAGGAAACCTGTTAAGAAAACCACCTCAGCTCATCTTTACTCATTAGCAGAGGGTATGGAACCTTTTTGTACCTGGGCTAGCATACAGCAGCTGTTCAGTAACTAGTGAAGAACTAGTTAGGTAATTACAGAGCTGAAATTAGCTCATGTACTTCATCTGCTGGGCAGTTGTGAACATTTACAGATTGAAAGTATGTGAAACTTGCCCATACACGAGGTTGGTACTCACTTCCTTTTTAACCTAAGCAGTTTGAGAGGCTACTTTGCTACAGCTCTCTGAGTTAAATCTCAGTTAAACAAGTCTCTAATGCTATCAATGTACCCTAAGTCCCAGAATGGACAAGTCCTTCACACTCTAAATTCTTATAGATTCTGTGTGTGGACAAGTAATGACAAGCTCAAACAAGAAAAAAAAAGAATAGGACAGGTCAGAGAAACCAAAGCAACTCATTTGTATCTGGAGCTCATGAAAGATCTGAGTTACCATCAGCTGCAAACTGTTGCTCTCCTGCTTGTAGGTCTTGACGAAAGTCATTTTCCTCATCTGAATCATCTGGGTGATGGTGATTGTTGTCATGGATGTTGGCATTATTATTCTGAGCATTATTATCATTGTCATTGTTGGAATTCTGGTTGCTAACAAGTGCCGAAGAAACCCCAATTCCAGTTCCTGCACTCAGACCAACTCGAGCACAGCCCTAGGTAAAAACAAACCATGAGCTTATTAATTTGGGTTGGTATAGAATACTTCTTTAACAACCCTTCATTTCATCTTTACATAAGAACTAGTATTTAAAAATACAACTTAAAAAATGCTTTCAAATATGTATAAAAGATCCTATTCAAGGCTCAAAACAGTTCAAGCATGATATAGCATTACTCGCCCAACTGACAAATATCAGGTGCACACCCGGGATATGTGTGACAGACAGCACACGACTGATAAGTGGTTTACCTGGGAACTGAAAACAGATTCTGTGATCTCAAGTCCTACACTTTCCCCATTATAATTAACTGTTTCAATGGTGAGAATAAAATCACAACAGTACAGATTACCATGAGTGAGTTCCATTGGTAAGGCAATTTAAAATAACATTTTGTACAACTGGGCAACCTCGGATTTTTTAAGATACACCTTACTAGGAGATGGCAGCAAAGTAAAACATTTCCAAAATAAATTCCTACTCCTTAGACTTGAGCTCCTGAGGACTAATTTCTAAGTACTCCAGGAAAGGCCTCTGTCCTAACTTCTCTACCTTACCTTTAATTTACAAAACAGGCAGCATCCTTACTTTCCCTTTCCCTTCTCCGAAGATCCCTTAATACTTACTGGTAACAACAAGAGGGCATCGTTGTTATAAACATTATGCCTTCACTGAAGATGGAATTTTGAAAATACAACTATAACAGCATAAAGGCATATTTATTAAGAAGAAATAAACATCACAGGCTGTTTGTTTTGCATTCTTCCCTTATCAAAACAGATTGAAAAAAACAAATCCAACAAAGAAGCAAAAAAAAAAAAAAAAACTTTTCTCAACTGTGACTTACCTTGGGTGGTTCACGGAACATCTGGTCCAGGGAAATAAACTCCAGGCTGGGCAATAATTCAACAAACTGGCCGAAAGAATCCAGCTTCAAAGCATGGCACCGCACGAGGTTGATATCAACCAGTCGGGTCCATCTAGAGTGGTCTGTTGAAAACAACACAGCAGGTGTTTACTCGGCACTGTCCCCCATGCAACACATGAATTTTTGCTACAGATCACAAAAGTCTTTCCAATCCTTTTTTCTTTAAGTAACCTTTCCCTTATTTCATGGTCTTTAAGACTTGATGATTCCCTATTATGATGCTTCCAGAGCTAATTTCACTGTGAGAAATACATGGCCCAGGAAACATGATATGAAACTAAGGTGGCCCTGATTGAAATGTCATCTCTCTGTCAGCCTACATGCCTTTCAGCAACAGGATACTGGGGGAAGCAAGCATGGCACATTCACTTAGCCTAACAGATGCACCTACTTTGACAGACTGAGGAGAGCTACAGACTTGCAGAGATGAGGCGCTCTCCTGAACATACTTAGTATGAAAACTAAGGCACAGGACAGTGTACACACAGGAAGATCCTTCTGAATAGAAATCACTGTAAATGCTATATAGGTATAGGATGTAATATGCACAAAATAATTTGTCCAGAAGAATATATAAGAAACTGTTGATGATGGTTACCTTGAAAAGAGGAGACTTTTCATTTTGTACCTTTCTGTACTGTCTGAAATTTATCAAGTGCATGTATTACTTTAATATAAGTGTTAACAGGAGTTCTGAGTGATGGGATTATAAGCCATTTTTTGTTTTCTTCTTTACACTCTTCTGTATTTAAGAAAAACAAACCAAAAACCCAATAAATGTTATTTTTTTTAAAGTGATCTATACCTGCTATATCCTAAAATTCCCAATTTCCAGTAACATGTTGGTTGATCTGGGCCACTGACAGGTGAGGTACGGCCATTCTGGCAAGCAATCTCAGAAGAGGATCAGGAGCTCTGAACAGCCCTAAAGGCAGCTCTGCAAGGAGGTGTAGATCCTTGGCAAGTGCTCTGACAGTAGAGGCCAAGGGTTCAGTAGGTATTTGCAAGGGTGCTTGTTTAAAGGAGGTGTCACAAAAAACTCATCCTCTAACTGGTGATCTATTTAAAGCCTTGTGAATACAGACAGTTAGAGGGTTTTAAAGTAAATAGTATTACTTTTTCAGAGGAGAAAATGAACTTGTGCCATAAGGAAAAATATCAAGTACAAAAGTCACTCCTATATTTGAGATGGAGTAGTAGGCAGGAGAGGTTGAAATGGAATAGGACTTCTGGTTAAAAAAAGCTTCTGCTTCGAGTTAGTGTTTAATAAGTCACATAAGTAAGGTCTTTAGAAATAGGCCCCTACTTTTTCCTTTCAGATGATGTGCCACCTTGAAGGTAATTCTCAAAGGAAATAACAATAATATACTAGATTCTGCGCAGTGACTCTTAGTCTTAATCTGAGTGCATGGTAGTATGTGCAAGGAAGTGCATTCAAAGATGAGGGTACTTAAATCTGTAACTGGGACAGTGCAAATTTAAAAATTGAAGGAGACACTGCATTTATTTCCACCTCATTAAATGGTTCTTAAAACTTGTATGAACAATCCACATAAAATATATGTATATAAAACAATCTATATTAGGAATATAATCATATCACATAAAAAAGACGTATTTTACTACCAGAAAACAGTGTTATTTACAAGTTTATAGTACCTGAGATCCAATTGTATGGGTTGTGTAGATGAGGACAGTTATAAATTGCCAGATATTTGATACAGGAAAAAACTTCATTGACTGCCTTCATTCCTATATCAGTGATGATGCCAGGATTTTCTACCACATCAGCCAAACCATACATCACCAAATCTGCATTAGCCATTCTGCCTAGAAAGAAATCAATTTCAAAGAAAGTCTCAGAGTCATGGACTGTTGTATCATTCTATGTGATTAAACTGTTCTGTTCCATCTATGGTCATCAGGCTGGCTTCAAGTTTCAAGTCAGTATTCTGAGTGCATGGTAGTATTCTCGTACAAACAAGAATTTATGTTAAAATCAAGGGATAGCTAATAGGAAATAAATAATATTCAACTGTTTAGAAAGAGGAAAAAGGCTAACTTAATAGATGTATTGGTTCATACAACTATAACATTTTAATTTTATTTTTTAAAAAGAAAAAACAAAACCACAAAATAGGAACTCTCTCATGGCATAAGGAACATGCTTTAAGTCTGGTGTGGCCATGGAAAACAGATCAGATTTCACTTTGGAGCTTGTAACATAGGTGAATAGGTGTCTACCCTGAATTAGATTCTAACTCAGACACATGTCTCTGGCCAGGTCACAATCTGGAGTGGGGGTTGAGGGATGTACCATGCCACTCGCAACCATATTTCAGTTCTGGCATATCATCATCTCCTCTGAATGGCTCTAGGACAGTTAACTTAAGCATAAGACCTCCTTGAAGGATGTTCTGGTTATTTAGATTGTATTTTCAGTCGTAAGGTATCTAGGGATCTAAGATACACACACATAGACACAGACACATACCCTGTAGTCTTTGAAATTAACTAACAACACTAACCAAAACAAACAAACAAACAAAACACCAAAAAACTCAGTTGCTCTTTGTGAAACTTTTGAACAATAGAGCAATGCATATTTTTTTTTTTGCTTGGGTTATGTGTTAACCAATCAATCTACCTCAAGTTCTACCAACTTTATTTTCCATAGAGTTCATACTTTCTATTACTATGCAACTTTGGTATCTGCTGGTATTTCTTACAGAAGTCATCTTACACCATCTTAAACTTCAACCTCCTTGCTGCTCATTGAACTTCAAGAATGCTTATTCGTTTATGATGAACAAAATCTTGAACTTGCTCTATTCACTAGATGCTGTCCACATAAATGTTCCACTGTAAATTGACCAATGCATGTCCTATTGCCTGACCTTAGTGCAACCCATTCCTGTTCTTAAGTTCTTCTACTGGCCTAAATTCTTAAAATCCAGATGATGTCACCAGGAATTAATTAATTCCTCCTCCTCCTCCTCCTCCTCCTCCTCCTCCTCTTCTTCTTCTTCCTTCTCCTCTTCTTCCTCCTCCTCCTCCTCTTCCTCTTCTTCTATAACTTACAGGGCAGCAAAAGGTAAAAACTACTACTTACTTAAATAAATACCTCAAGTGTTAGACATTGTTACAAATGTATTTATCTTTTTGCTTTTTCTTTTTTTTAGACAGTCTCATGTTGCCTAGTATGGTGTCTAACTTGTTATGTGGCAAAAGATGATCTTGAATTCCTGATTCTCCTTTCTCTACCTCCCAAGTGCAAGGAATATAGGTGTGTGCCACCAAATTTGGCTGTATTTATCATTTTTCCAATGTCTCCTCAGAGCCAGTCAAGAGGAAAGTAGGAAATACTTAAGTATCTTATGTAATCTCAAGACTAACATCAGGCAATTCTCAATTCCATCTCTCTCTAGAGTTCTAAGACATAAGTCTACATTACTGAGTTTTACATCTTGATTACCTTCACATAAAGTTCTGAAATAACAAATCCATGTAAAGAAAGAATCCTTCTCCAAGTATCCTTAGGTCACTGAATTCCAACCATCTTTATTCCTAATACAGCACCCACTTTTTAGGACATTCATCACCCCAATCTGGTACTGTCATTCTTAAGTGCTAGAGGACATGTTTCTATTTATCTATTTTGCCAGACAAAAAAAGCAACTCCAGTTTTATAAGAGGGTACCATTCCTTCATCTTTCTGTTTCAAGATGTGAATTACTAAGAAGACAGACAGAAAGAACAAGAGTGACTCTTATGTGCCACTGTGCTCATGTGGAGGTCAGAAGACAATCCTGCCATAGGTCTTTGTCTTACACATTATCTAAGATGGCTGTATTGTTCACTGATACCAAGCTCGCTGTCCCAAGAACACCCAGAGAATCTCTTTACTCCCCGTCTCACCTTGCCAAAGGAAAGGTGGCATCAGAACTGGGAATTCTCAGATGGGTGTAACCACATCCAGCTTGATGTGTGTTCTGGGGATCTGAACTCAGGTCCCCATGCTTGCCTGGCAAGCAGTGTACTTATTGAACTAGCTTCCTAGTTTTTATCTCACTTAAGATGATCTCTCAAAGGGCATCTAACACTTATCCTGAAACAGAATTCCTGGCAATCTTTGGAGAAGCAGAGTCCATATAACGGACAGGCTGAACAGTCTAGAAGGCAATGCCTTGTAAAAAGGCCAACACCAACAGACTGCTAAATATGAAAGATACTGACACTAATTGCTTTGAAAGTGTGAACTAATGGTAGTCAAGTAGTATTTACTACTGAGACTGTGTGGTGAGGGGGAAGAAACACATAGGAGAGTAATGGTATAGACACAGAAAGCACTGCCTATCCCTGGAAAGGGGGATTTTAACCCAACCCTTCTGTAGACCTAAAGGTGGTCACCAGAAGGTAGGGAAGTTGCTAAGCTATGGGCTTTAAGACTAGATTCTGATGTGAGGGCATCTGGATACAGATGCTCCAAAAAGAGGATAACAGCCTCTTTCACAACCAGAAAAGCTCAACAAGGAAGGGTTCATTTTCTATGAAATCATTCTTAGCCTCCTAATGCTATGCTAGTAAAACCTGAGAGTTTCCAAGCTACACAGATTAAAAGTGGTTCCAGCATTAAATTTTCTAGAAATGGGTGTTTTGATTTTTTTTTTAAGAATTCTACACTTATACTAATGAGAACCTCAATGATAAAGAAATTAATAAAAACACAACTGCTACTGCCATTACATATACTGAAATGAACGAGGAATTTAGTTATGGGTTTTTTTTTCTGCCCCCCAAGACTGTCCTATGTTTTGACCTAGGCTATCTTGGTCAATATTATTTATAACTTTCTATGTTCTGTGATGCAAATTAGATCCAAAGAAAACACAAAAACCATCTGTACAACAATTGGATGTTCAAGAATTTTTGTAAATTATCTGAGAAACAAATTAATTCTTTATAAAATGAAAACAAGTTGGTGGAAATTTTTTTTAACTATCTTACAAATGGAAAAGGAAAACAGTTTGAATAATGAATTTTATTGACTTAAATTCAACCCCAAGGAATGAGTTCCTAATTGTAAATGCATACTCCAAATGTTACCAAGTCAGCAGTAATTACTATAAAATGATACTAACCACCGTGTGCTCACAGTATCTGCAAAGTTTAGAATCCTAGCAGGCTTATTATGGAAATACAAAATATGAGCAAAGAATTTGACCTCATCTGAGGAGATCATAAAAAGCTTCAAGAAATGTGACAGGTCAAATTCAATAATGGAACTATGAGTGACATTCTATGAAAAAATGAAGCAGAATTGCAAAGAAATGTGAACAGTGAAGTGGAAACAACTGCAAACCTAAATAATGATTTTCTTGACATAGTGTTAATCACTACTTTCCCAATAGCATGCTAACACCAGAGCCACAGGTAAGACGATGTCAAGATATCTAAGTTTAAACAAAATGATTCTTCTCCAAGACAGACATGCAAGCATGTAAGACATTAGATCCGGCTATGCTCAGAAAAATAAGGGCACACAATATCCAGATTTTAGTCTATCAAGCATGTTTCCCACAGCAAATCCAGGAAATAAAACATGATATCTTACTCTGTAGCAAGAACTCATCTACGTATCCCAGATGAAGGGTTTCAAACTGTGGAAACTCCAATTCTGCCATCTTCAGGGCAGAAAAGACACCATCTTTGGTTAAAGAAGGCTGGATGCGAACTTCATGTAACCTACAAACATAAAAACATGTTAAAACACTAAATTAGATTCTTCCTGATAATAGAGCTTGGAAACAAGTTTTTAATTTTACTAAAGTTATCACAAGGGATAACTTTCCCCTCTTTCCATTAAAAAACAAACAACCACAAAAACAAACAAACAAAAAAACCAAACAAACAAAACCTGAGGTTTCTATTTTCCAGTGCAGCCTGACATCAGGCAATACACTAGAGCTATGCAATCAGTAACAATAAACCATGGAGTAAGAACCCTAGAACCTGTCCGAGAACCTTTTTTCCTTCCCTAAGCATGATCAGGTTGACAGTGTAGAGCTGGTGTAGAGCTGGTGAATGGCTCAGTGGGGAGCATTTAGACAATAACCTGAGTTACCTGAGTTCAATCTGAAGACTCCACAATGGAAGGTGGGAATTGACTACCCAACATTCTGTCCTCTGACTTTCACATTCATGTTGTGGTGTGTGTCACACACAGTAATAAAAATAAAAGTGTGATAGAGTATATCTGGTATCAGAGAAGAATATTGGGACACTTTTTTATGCTAGTGTTAATGCTTCATTTTAACAAAGATACACTCCTGTGGTATGTAAAAGTAACTTAAGCAGCTATGTTTCATTTTATTCATAATTAGCATTCTACTGGTAAAAACAACTTTTAATAAGCTGATAGAAAAATTCAAACTTAAGGAAGGTAGACTTCTGAGAGGTGGAAAATACCAAATATACTATAAAGCGATATGAAGACACATTAAAAGATGCGGAGGTCCAACACTGCAAAAGATAGTTTAAGACAGGTTTCTGAAGAGAAAGTTTATCATCAACTAAAACAATTCAGGAAACCAAGTACAGATGGGGAATGGTTCCAGAGAGGGCCACCAACTTCTATTCATGTTACACTCAGGCACTGCTTTCCTGTGCAATGATACCATATGACCTTCTAGGGCTGACCTACCTAGAATGCAGTCCAAATGGCTCTAGTTAGTTCTAAGTTAGACAAACATGAAGACAAAACCACCTGCTACTTAAGTAGCCCCTTTGTATTTTAAATCCAAATAAGACATGATGAAATTTTATACACAAATATTTATAGCTACATTAGCCCCATGTTTTCTAAAACTTCTAATTCTAGAACAAAAACTATAAGGTAAAAACAAAACATACCTACGGGCAGCAGTAATGATGAGGTAGCCGAGATCTACTTCAAGGGCATTCTTGCAAGCTCCTAAAACAATAGTGTGCAGATTTCTAAAACCACCTGGTAAAGAAAAACAGAACAAAAATAAGCTTTACCTCAGAACTTTTGGTAAAGGAGTTATACATGCTTTAGGAAATAATTACTTGTATAAAAGTAAATGCTTTGTATCTGCAACCACATTACCTCAAGGTGAATTTTCCCTAGTAGCTATTTCCCCCAAACAGACACTCGTGCTGTTAAACACTTCAAGCCTGAAGACAAAGAGAATGCTGGAAACCCATGAGGGAAGTGCAGGACTGATGCTTCCTGGCCAAATCCTGACCCTCCAGTGTATTATGGAACAAGACAAGCCTTGCTCACAGATGTGTACTGTCATCAAATATACCATAGAGAAAGCTAAGAAAACTATATAAGCATTATTTTTAAAAAAGTAAACAAAGTCTGAAGGAAATAAAAGCTAATCTTTAAAACTGCTTTGTAAGTAAGGGAAAGGAATACCTGATCTCCAGCTGTCTTCAACCACATGTTGGATGAGACCTCCCAGGAAAGGGACTCGAACCATTTCTAAGTGTTCCAAGTTCCGGGCACAGACCAGTTACCAAGGGCACATATTTCAAGGAATTTGTAGGCCCTGGAAAAAGTAAACAACAACAAATCTTAATGTAATAAGCTGTTTCCAAGATGATTTTTTTCAAGACAGCAAGTAAACTGAATAGCCTATAAACCCTCTGTATTAAAATGATGTATTATTGGTGGCTGTCAGCGCTTCTTACTTTACTAAATCAAAGGGCTAGTCTGCTAACCATATACTTACTCAGCACAGGAATCTTTCAAAAACAGTGCTGAGCTATGTTTTGTAAATACACTTAACTCAATAATTTTCATTTCAAAATAATAAATGAGAAAAAAAAATCTCAAGAGGAAAATTTTGATCTTTCACTCAAGTGAGCTTCTCTATCATTTCAGCATCTCTTTATGTCCAGTAGTGTATTAGATATTGGAAAGGCCCCCAAAAGTAACAGCTCTGTCCATTAAAAGTCTTCCAAAGGAGAGACAGCATATAAAGAATTCTGAACACATAAAAAGGCCAAATATATGAAGTACCAAAGTAAGACATACTACACTCAGTAAAAAGGAAAAAAAAGAGAAGAGAGAAAGATGTCAGGAAAAGCAGTCCCCAAGGAACACACATAAGCTGAAAAGCAGCACACATTTCAGGGTAAGACAACAATAATGCAGGGTAACCTCAGGGTAGCTTGTACATCTGAGTGGCAGTAAACGGCAGATGTGACCAGGAAGGGGGTCAGAAAGGAGTCAGAGGAAGGGTGAACACCCTTAACAGTGCCAACAACAGACTGGGTACTAAAGGCTCTGTTCAGCCTTGTAACATCATAAAAACAAAGCTTAAGGTGGAATAACTGTTCCAAATGTTTAGAAAATCAGAGACTACAAAGACTGAGCTTTATTAAAACAATCCAATGAACTGAAAGCCAAGCTTATATATAAAACACAAGACAATCTGCAGTTTATGTTTTATGGTAAGGTTGATTATGTTCCTACTGCCCACACAACAAAAGATATGCTGCATTCACAAGATGTGTAAGTCATGAAACAGATAGTAATACCATATTTTCAGTATGAATGCAGATTTGCCAGGACACTTTTAGAAGAGTGGATGCTTAACTCAAGCCTAACATATAGCATTACCTGCGCAGTTCCTCATGACAAAGGTTCTCAAGCTGATGCAAAGGAAATCTTTGAACGGCTGTGGCTTAGTGAGTCTCACCCACTTCATGTATAGGTGCCTTAGCATCGGGATGCAGGGGATTTCAGGAACATTGACCCCTGGAGCATATACACAAAAGAACAAGACCATGACAAAAACAGCATTCTATACAGTATGTTCATGAGTCCAGTTTTCAATTGACAATCTATCCTTCAAGGAGATCTATGACCTAACTAGAGCCTACCAAATCTGGCTTATGTAAAACAGGCTGGTTAAGAACTTTTTACAGAAACCACATTATAAAGAATGGGACTTAAAATCTATTCTGTATTTAAAACATATAACCCATAACCATATCTTACAGGATGCAAAGTAAAAGTGCATTTTTAAAAGCACAATTATGAAGATGGAGGATGAGTTACATAAATACTATGTGGCTGCCAATGACCACTACTGTGCCATCAGTAAGAAAGATACATTTCTCAGCTAAAGCTAGCTAAGTTTTTATATTATGGTTCGTAGTAGGCAGCAATTTCAAGATACACATTGAAGTCATTTCAACAAGTATATCCATTGCAGGCATTTATAAATATGTGGAATAAGCCACCCCAACCTTAAGAACAAAAATATGACAGCTGTTAATTTTAATACCTCAAAATATTAAGGATATTTTATGCCTTCGATGAAACATATCCACAGAGAATTCAACTTGGAAAAGAGAAAGGGTATGCAATGGGGAGGTGTCAGGAGACATGGAAGAAAAAGACTGGTAATTGTTAAACCTAAATGGAAGGAGGTAGCTTCAGAAATGTGCTCCAGCAATTAAAACACTGTATGTTAGACAAAAGGCTATGAGAAAAATCTAAGGGTCCAAGGTGATGGTACTTAACAAATAGTAGCTGAAAAAATTAACACAATGCCACTTTTATTGTCAGACTGCTAACAAGAATAGCTAAAGAAAGCAAAATCACAGAACTTAAAACTGGTTGGTTCTTTAAAAGATAAACTCTGGTGAATGCCCCTCCAATCACTTACATAGATTACTCCTGAACCTGTCTGCAGTGTACTTTGGTTTTTACTATGTAAACACACCATATGGCAACACACGGGAAATAAAAATGGGGATAAGACCAAAGGGGGAAAATCAGACCAAGAAGCAAAGAATTCACAAATTAAACTTAGTGTCTACCACAGGTGGCCCTGCTGGCTATTAAGAGAGTCAAAGGGCAAGGCCAGAAAGATCCAAAGACAGCCATCAATCCTACTTTCTGCCAAATTTAGCCTATAAACAAAGGACAATATGCATTTCTTCACATTACCACCATACAGTGGTAATGACTCAAAGCTATGAGTCAATCACATAACTAATTCAGTCCAGTGAAACCTATAAATACTTATATTTTTAAGTAACTGGTACAAGCACTATGGAGAATGTGAAGTTACACTATAAACTTCAGATATTACATAAGTATAACCTCTTTATCACTTAAAAATCCAAATATTGGAATCCTTATTCAGATTTACTCAACAATCTTACAAATAAGAGGGGTCTGTCTTTACTGTCCTTCTGACCCTATCCCACATATGTCCTCCTATGACTATCTAATCCTATTTTAAAAATTCCTAGATCCTCAGAACATTCCCAATATCTGGAGTAATTTTTGGAATACAGCAGATATTCAATACTAACATTAACAGAATAATAAAATATAAACTTAAAAGTAAAATATAAACTTAAAATACTAATAAAGTATGAAACTGAAAATATTTTGGCCATATCCTCAGCCCAAAATGGCAGCACTCAGGAACTAGAAAGACAAAGATGGATAGAGAGAGCTCATGGCCAACATGAACTTCATAGACCATGACTCATTTTTTTGTTTGTTTAATGAGAAGAATTTAAATAAATTTTAAAAGTATAGTTGTTAAGTTTCAGTAGTTATAATGAGTGCCAGACAGCACACAGTCTGTGGCTTAGACCTGCCATGCAATAAAGGCATTTGCCATGCAAGCTTGATGACTTAAGTTCCATCCACAGAGCCCATTGAATGATGGAAAGGAGAACTAACTATATTCACTTGTCCCACATACACACATCATATAAACAAAGACAACAAACTAAATAAAAAAAATGCTTCCTCTCAAAAAGTTGTATTAGAGGTCCCTCCTCAAAAGGGCAAAATCAGAGCAAGGGCAGGATTCTAGCTTGATGGAACACACAAAAAAATAAAAGATTCAGAAGTCTTCAACATGGCAACAGGCTGCTGAAAAAACAACATTTCCCCTTGAGAGATCTTTAAATGGTGGAAAATCTGAGCTTTCATACACATCTCACAAGCACTTTTTTTTTCTATAACCAATCAATAACATGATCTTCAAAATTTCCTAGCTGTTTCAGTGAGTATTCAGTTATACATTGTTTCAAGGCATGACAAGTGAACCAGAAAGCAGGTACTCACCAACTAAATGCAAAGTTTGGATTTTGGCTCCTATGGGGATTTTCAGTTTATTTTCAGGAGGAATTGGAAATGCTCCATTACGATTACGAAATTTCCCCAAAATATGAACATGCGGCATATATGTCCAAATGGATTCTACCAACTCCAAATGAGATGTTTCTACACCCTAGAAAATAGCACCATGACAAGCTTAAGGAAGGCTTTCATTTCATATCCAAAGGGTCTCTTCCTATACAAGACACTAAATATGCAATGGAACTTAAGATAAAGTTTGTTAAGTGTGCAGTTTGCATGTGAGTGAACAAGCTCCTCCACAGTCCTTCTGATCTACTAGTTCATCAACCAGCTGATATTCAAGTGTTCCACCAGTACACTTACCACCAAGTTTGGGCATGCTTGCAAAGCTTCTAGGACTCCTGGAATGCTGAAAGCCTCATGGCCCCTCACTCTTCGCCTCTCGAGATATCTAGGG